AAAAAGCACACTCCATGTAATGCAATGATAAATGGGAAAAAATCCAGCCTGATCTCCTTTTGGGTGATCGCAGAATAATTCGCTGGGCTGACCCCTTTCAAATGTTCTAGCAGCTCACGCTTCCTTCAGAAATTTTCCCTAAGAAAAGGGACTCAGGTAACTTTTTGACCACCTGGTGTAGCATAAGCCAGGAGAGGTGAATAAAAGAAGACACAATCATCAGAGGCTTTTTTTTTTTAACTTTTAAAAGCATTTTTTCTACAACCTCTTCGGCCGAAAAAATGCTTTTTTTTAAAAAAAAAGCCTCTGATGATCGCACGGCTCAGCTGGGATCGTCAAAGGATTTTAAAAGCATTTTTTCTTCGGAGGTTGTAGAAAAAATGCTTTTAAAAGCCTCTGATGATCCAAGCTGAGTTGCCTGATCGTCAGAGGCATTTAAAAGAAAAAAGAGCCTGGATAGCTCTGCAGACTAAAGCACTGTAATTTAACACCAGCTGTCTGCAATTAAAGTAAGTTTGAATCTCGCCAGGCTCAAGGTTGACTCAGCCTTCCATCCTTTCTAAGGTAGGTAAATTGAGGACCCAGTTTGTGGGGGCAATAAGCTGACTTTGTATAAATATACAAAAGTATGAAGGCTATTGCTTAACGCACTGTAAGCCGCCCTGAGTCTCCGGAGAAGGGCGGCATATAAATCAAATTAAAAAATAAAAAAAAAGCCTCTGCCGATCAGGCAACTCAGCTGGGATCGTCAGAGCCTTTTGAGAACATTTTTTTACAACCTCTTCGCCGAAGAGGTTGTAGAAAAAATGGTTTTAAAAGTAAAAAAAAAAAAAAAGGCCACGCCCACCTAGTCACATTACTCCTCCCCCCACCAAGCCACGCCCACAGAACCGGTAGTAAAACAATTTAGATTTCCCCACTGCTTTAGGATGTTCTGCGGTCTTCCAATTCAGAAACATCCAGGCTTCACATTCTGCTTGTCTGCCCCCTCCCCAAGATTAGCCAAGGTAAATAAAAGATAAGTCATCAATAACAGCGACAGCAAGATTAGAGGGCACCTTTGCAGGCCAGCTGTTATAGGAAAAATGACGGAACTAGGCCAAGCTCTTCAATGCAGGAAAGAGTTTATTGCGCAAGGTTCAAACAGTCCAAAGACAGCGAAGAGTCTGAACAAAGATGGCTGATTTTGACCAGATATTTATACAGTATAAAGGCAAAGTTATTACGAAGAGTGCGTAAATTATAATAAATAATTTATTAATAAATTATTAATTCTTTATTAAATTATAATAAATAATAATAAATTATTATGTTGATAGCCCGCCCTGGAGGAACAACAGGGTCTTCAGTGCGCAGCGAAACACCCGGAGGTTGGAGATCTTACGTATTTCCGAGGGCAGTTCATTCCCGTGACTCCAGGACTGGCCCATTGTCCTCCCCAGCCTCCTCACTGTCCGACTTCACTGGCAGCTCCGCAGGCTGCCGGTGGACCACAACACTAAAAGAAAAAAAGGCTTCCAAAACTGACACGCACAGTTTGGTGAAAACGCCAAGATGCCAGCCGTGATGATACAATTGAAGCTCTTGTGAAATGGACGCCCATAAAAACACAGGAGATATGATGACACCATCAAGGACACCCGTCTTGAGCCCAGATTTCTATGTCTTTGTGTCTAGTTGGCCCACGTGAGGCTGAGCTGGTTTCCTTCTGGAAGGAATTTCACATCACAGAGACAACATAATGCACAATGTCAAGGCAAAGAGGCACTACACCTGGTATGACATCTGGCATCTTTTTCAATGTTCCACTTTGCTTCGTGCTTAGGAGCCACGTTGCTTTACAAAATTGGCTTTGGACAGCTGCTTCCTTAAGAGTCCTTCCAAGATCTCCGTCAAAGATTCAACACCTAGGATTCGCTCCGTTTATTAAAGTAAAGCCAACTATCTCCCTGAGGATGGAGGCAATATTCTTTCCTAAAGAGCTGGGCGGGAATGACGAGACAAAGGGGTTGTTCATCAGATGTACAGTAGCCTCAACCTAAATTGATCTACTGTCAAAAGAAGGGGAAGGGGCGGGAGATTGGCAGAGTGACAAAACAAATTCTCAAGGCCACCTGAACAGAGGAGACAATGAAGGGGGGAGGGGGAAGGAAGAGGGGAGATGGTTTGTTCTCGTCGTTTTGTTTAGTTTTACCCCATTTAATGCAGGCGTGTCAAAATCAAGGCCCACAGGGTGCTTAGATTTGGCCTGTGGGGCCATCCTGGAAACAGCGAAGGACTGGTCCGCAATGCCTCTGCCAGAGAAAATGGAGCTTTCCATTTTCAGCTAGAGCAGGGGTGTCAAACTCGATTTCACTGAGGGCCGCATCAGGGTTCTGTTTAACCTTGGGGGGCTGGGGTGGGTGTGGCCAGGATGGTGGGCGTGGCCATCTTGACATTACTCATGTTGGGGGTGCCTGTGGCGGCCTGAGTGCTCTGCCGGTGAAAATGGGCTCCCGAGTCCCTTTTTCGGCCTCGATGGCCTCCTGCCGCCTTCTGCCAGTGAAAACAGCTGAAAACGGAGCCTGGGAGGGGGTTCCCGAGCTCTGTTTTCGCTGTCAGCGGGTTGCAGGAGGCTGTCGCAGCTGGAAACAGATAGAGCACTTGGGCCACCACAGGCGTCCCCGACACGAGTGACGTCGTGCTGGCCACACCCACACTGGCCACGCCCCCCAGCCCCCCCCGATCAAACACAACCCTGATGCGGCCCTCAATGAAATCGAGTTTGACATTCCTGATTTAACGGAAACGTATAAACTTACAGCATATGTGATCATCTCGAGATTTTAAAGGTGATGCCATTTTGAGAGCACTGATAGGGAACAAATGTTAAGAATTCATCCACTGGTAGTTTACTTTGTGTATTCAGGAACTCTGTGCTAAGACAGGTAACTCCTTGACTTACGACGGTTTGTTTAGTGACCGTTTGAAGTTACAAACGGCCCTGAAAAAGTGACTTAGGACCATTTTTCACACTTACGACCGTTGTCACGTCATCAAAATTCAGACACTTGGCCACTGGCTCACATTTACGACATTTATTTATTTATTTATTTATTTATTTATTTATTTATTTATTTATTTATTTATTTATTTAAATTTCTATACCGCCCTACTCCCGAAGGACTCAGGGCGGTGAACAGCCACAGGATAAAATACATAAATACAAAACTTTAAAATAGAATAAAAACGAATTAAATAATTTGGCTGAACAAATTTAAAATACCTCATAATTTAAAAACAAATTAAAATTTAAAATTTACATTTAAAAAGGGGAGAAAATTTAGGCCAGGCCGGCTTGATGAAATAAAAAAGTCTTAATTGCACAACGGAAGGTGCGCAGATCCGGGATCCTCCGTATCTCCGGGGGGAGCTCGTCCAGATCGTAGGTGCCCCCACAGAGAAGGCTCTCCCCCTAGGGGCTGCCAGTCGACATTGCAGTGTCATGCAATCCCCTTTTGCAAGCAAAGTCAATGGGGAAGCCGGATTCACTTAACAACCGTGGCAGGAAGGGTCATAAAATGGGGCAAAACTCACTTAACAAATGTCTCACATAGCAACAGAAATGTTGGGCTCAATTGTGGTCATAAGTGGAGGACTTCCTATCCATCCTAAGAGTAAAATACAAAACCCAAGGACTCAGAAAGGGGTTATATAGTTATGTATATGGATGACCAACATATTCAACTATTATATTAATAATATAATATATTGCTTAACACATTGTAAGCTGCCCTGAGTCTCTGGAGAAGGGCGGCATATAAATCAAATTAAAAAAAAAATCATTTCTCAGCCTTGTGGCTAAGATCAACTGTAGTTTGTGTGTGTGCGTCCATCCGTGTGTAGCTCTGGGTGGGCACTCTATGACCAAAATATTACATAAATCAGATTTCCATCCTCCCCACTTGACAGCTCAACTTTTCCAGTTTGCTAGATGCTGATGATGTGGCTATTACTTTATGCCTTCCAACTGGCTTTTAAGTCAAGTTTATTATCAGCTGCTGCACTTTTGGACTTCTTTTTAGCATGTCTCCATATAATTTTGCATCTCACAAAACCTGGCAAACATCGAGGCTTCCGTTCATGTAAAGAAAGAACCTGTGACAAAACTGGGCGGTATATTTTCTCTTCTCCATCAACCAAGTTCTTCTTCCAAAGATTCAAGAAGGGACACTCAATATTGCTTCTCAAGAAGCTCAGTTTTGGGTTTTGGAAACCAGAGAATTGTTCTATTAATTTTTTTTTTCATAGATTAAAGTTTTCCTGAAATTCCTTTTCACTTTGACTCCATTGTAACTCACTACTTTGATTCACTTTTAAGAGAAACGTAACTGAACTGCTGGAAACGTGTCCTATTTTGTTTTCCTTTTGTTTTTTGGTTTTTTGGGGTAACTGTACTGGAAATAAAATATTGGAAGAAATACTTAATTCTACATTACTCAGGAGCAGGGGTGGGCTTCAAAATTTTTAGCAAGGGGTTCTTTGCCCAGTTGCTGGGTGGGCGTGGCCATGGTAGGTGTGGTCTAGTTGGCCTCCTGCACCACGGCGCGTGGGTGGGGGCGTTTCTGCCCTCCCCAGGCTCTGGAGGTTTTTCTCGAGCCTCCGGGAGGGCGAAAACAGCCTCCCTGAGCTCCAGAGGCCCTCTGAAGGCCCGTTTCTGGCCTTCCTGAACTTCTGGTAGGTCCATTTTTCACCCTCCCTGAGCCTCTGCGTGTGCCCTGTACTTACCTGCATCCAAAACAGTCCGCGTGGGGACTCCTGGGAGGGGAGGGGCAGGGTGGGCAGGGCCAGCCAGGAGTAGGATTTGGGATTTTTCCGAACTGCACAGAATCTTAGCTAGAGGTTCTCCCGAACCCTCAGCAGCCCACAGGAGTAATGTTTTTCACTCCTCAGGAGTAATGTTTTTCACTCTTCTTGCTCTCCCACTCTATTTGGATGATAAAAAAAATCATTCAGGAGTATGGTGAAGATATCAAGTTTATTTCTTTCTTTTCTTTTTTTTTTGAAGACTTGTTACTTACATCACAATTATAGATAATTTCATAGGATCTTATAACTCTCTGAAGAAATCTGAGAATAAATATGAAAAAAAAAAGAAAAAAATATTTTATTCCATTGGCCTCCGAAGATGGATGATATATATATCTTACAATTTAAAACGTACTCTCGATTTTATGTCGAATATATATAGACTCTGTCTCTAAAGGGTATAAAAAAATCCTCCTGAATCTTCTTACTCACCACAAAATAAAAATAAAAAGTAAAATCCGTTCGTTGCTCAAAGCAAAGATTAGCTAAACATGTATGATGTCACATAGGAAGTGCTCATTGTCCAAGAAAGCATCTTTCCCTGTGTAAGGGCTGGTTTTTGAAGAAGTATTAGAGGTTGAACTTCGTTCTTGCATGATTGTCTACTGATTCTTCAGGCTGGAAAAAAAAAGAAAAGAAAGGATAACCTTTGCATTAGTGAGAAGTTTTTTTATTCTGGAATGCCAAGTTTCTAGTCAGTGCCCTATTTACCTCTAGCAAAGGAGAGAAAACTACTTCATTCACATTAGCAAGCAAACTTTCTCCCTTGAATATTTTTTTAAAGTAGTTTTTATTGAATATAAATATTAAAAAAGACATACGTAACATATACACAACAAACATTTATACAACATATACACAAAAAGAGTGTAATTTCTTCTTAAGCATTTTTTCAGAGTGATGTTCTACAATTCTACTTATGATATATTCCTTCACCTCTCCTTAATCTAATAACATTTTTTATTATATATATATATATATATTTAAATCGGTAATATTTCCCCCTATATTTTTTGTATATTTCTGATTTTTAATTAATTATACCAATTATTCCATATTTTATAATAGTCTGATTCTTCTCTTTCTTGTAATTCTTTGGTTAACCTATCCATTTCAGCGCATTCTAAAATTTTTCCTATTACTTCTGTTTCACTTGGTGTTTTTTCCTGCTTCCAATTTTTTGTGTAGGTTATTCTTGCAGCAGTTAATATGTGAATTGTGAGATATTTGATATCCTTAGGGTATGATTTGTTAAAGATTCCTAATAGAAATGTTTCTGGTTCTTTTTCAATCTGTGTTTTTGTTATTTGTTCCAACCATTTTTTGATGTTAGACCAAAATTTTCTTTGCTGCCGGGCACGTCCACCATAAATGATAGAAAGTCCCTTGTGCCTTTTTGCACTTCCAACAAATCGGGCTATTTTTAGGTTGTATTTTTGCAAATCTGGTTGGAGACATATGCCACCGATAAAACATTTTCAGTTGGTTTTCCTTGTACGCCGTTGCTTTCGTTAAATTTAGGTTTACCTGCCAGAACTTTTCCCATTTTTCCAAAGGTATTGTGTGTTTGATGTTTTGAGCCCACTTAATCATCGTTTCTTTGACTGTCTCTTCTTCCAATTTATAGCGTAGAAGAAATTTGTAAATTCTACTAATTAATTTATTTTCTGAATCTAATATAATTTTATCTATTTCTTGTTTTTGATTATAAATTTCATATGTTTTTATATGTTCTCTGTATTTGGATTGTATTTGAGTATAAGTCCACCAGTCTATTTCTCTGTGTAAATCTGTCTCCAATTGTTGTTTTGTCTTTAATTTGCCTTGATAGTTAATTATATCTTTATATCTAATTATTTTTGTCTTATCTGTTAAATTTGGGTGCCTAATTGATTCTGCCAGTGCTAGCCAATTTGGTATCTTCATATAATGTTGTTTTTTAATTTTAAGCCAAATTTGTAATAATGAGTTTCTTATTGTGTGTCTTTTAAAATATGAACGTGTTTTGTATTTCTCATCCCACATAAAGGAGTGCCAGCCAGTTTGGAGTTCGTGTCCCTCAATTGTTAAAATTCTAGAGTCCTTTAATTCTATCCAATCTTTGACCCACGATAGTATTGCTGCTTGGTAATATACCTCCCAGTCAGGGAGTGCAGCTCCTCCTCTATCTTTTGTATCCTGAAGCAGCTTAAATTTTATTTGTGGCCTTTTCCCTTGCCATATAAATTTAGATGTTATTTTATTCAGCTTTTCAAAAAACGGTTTATCTATTTTAATTGGGGTGACCTGAAACAAATATAAAAATTTAGGTAATATGATCATTTTGATAGCCGAAATTCTTCCTAGGAATGAAATGTGTAAATTTTCCCATTTTTCTAAGTCTTTCTTTGTTTGTTCTAGTAATTTATCATAAATTATATCATCCCTTGAATATTTTTGAATTGTCTCTACCAGTTACTGAAATTCATATTTCTCCTAACGTTGCAATGCATTTCATCAGTAATGCTAATTTAAAAAAATACACTGGAGAAAAACTCTGCACAGAAATCCATATATCTGTGAACTTAGTGGGCAGAAAAAATGCACACCGCTGTTGCCAGGCAAACTCACATTTTGGAGAAAGGCAAATAAACAAGCACACATTCATATTTTAGCACCATCTTTTTTTTTTTTTTTAAAGGTTCTTTAAAAAGAACACATCTACAAAGAAATGAGACATTGAAACGGACAGGCTGAATGAGAAATGGGAAGAAGCCAAAACCATCCTTCTCTGCTAGCTTCATGATGCTTACCGTGTTTCCCTGAAAATAATTTAATTTAATTTAATATTTGAATTTATATACCACCCTTCTCCCGAAGGACTCAGGGCGGTAAACAGAAGTAAAAAACATCAAATACAAAATTTAAAAACAATTTAAAAATAAATTAAACATGTTGGCCCGACAGTTAAAATCCCCCATTAAAAATCCAAATTAAAATACACAATTGCAGAGATTAGGCCAGCCCGACTTGATGAAATAAAAAGGTTTTGAGGGCCCGACTGGGTCTTATATTAATTTTTGCTCCAAAATACGCATTAGGGCTTATTTTCCGGTTAGGTCTTATTTTGGGGGGAAATATGGTATTAAATGCACCCATCTGGCTGACAGTCTTAACTGGGCCTTATTTTGGGGGTAGGGCTTATATTTCGAGCATCCTGAAAAAACATGCTAGGGTTTATTTTCCAGTTGGGTTTTATTTCCGGAGAAATTATTTATTTATTTATCTATCTATCTATCTATCTATCTATCTATCTATCTATCTATCTATCAATCATCTATCTATCTATCTATCTATCTATCTATCTATCTATCTATCTATCTATCTATCAAATTTCTATACCGCCCTACTCCCGGAGGACTCAGGGCAGTGAACAGCCAAGATAAAATACAGATAATACAAACATTAAAAGTCCATTAAAATTATTAAATATTTTGGCCGAAAACAAATTTAAAACACCCAATTTATAAAACAGATTAAAACGATTTAAAAATTTAAAAGGGAGAGTTAGGCCAGGCCAGCCTGCTGAAATAAAAAATGTTTTGAGAGCACGACGAAACGTGCACAGATCCGGGATCCTCCGTATCTCTGGGAGAAGCTCGTTCCAGATGGTAGGTGCCCCCACAGAGAAGGCCCTCCCCCTGGGGGCCACCAGTTGACACTATTTGGCCGACGGCAGCCTGAGAAGTCCCTCTCTATGGGAGCGTACTGGTTGGTGAGAGGCTATTGGTAGCAGAAGGCGGTCTCGTAAGTACCCCGGTCCAATGCCATGGAGCGCTCTAAAGGTGGTAACCAAAACCTTGAAGCGCACCCGGAAGACCACCGGGAGCCAGTGCAGCTCGCACAGAAAGGGGGTCACATGGGAGCGCCATGCCGCTCCCATAACCACCCACACGGCCGCATTCTGGACCAGCTGGAGCCTCCGGGTGCTCCTCAAGGGGAGCCCCATGTAGAGAGCATTGCAGTAGTCCAGGCGAGAAACAGGGTAGCTTTTCCTAAGATGCAGCATTCTTATCCAATTCTCTTTTTTATTATTCCATAGTTCAGTGTTTTTTCAACCTTAACCACTTGAAAAGGTGTGGACTTCAACTCCGGAATTCCACGGATGGCTTTGCTGGATGGGGAATAATTCTGGAAGTTGAAGTCCACATTTCTTCAAGTGGTTAAGGTTGAGGAACATTGCCATAGTTCAACCTGCTCTTTACCTCATTCCTCTTGAATTCTGCCTAACAAAATTAATGGCACTACGGAAAGTTGGGAACTGAAGTCAAACTACTGGACGGAGATCTCAGACTGATATATCGGAACACACTAAGAAGAGGAATAATAAATCAAGGTCTATCCTTTGTTTTTCTTTATTTATATCCGTCCTTTCTTACTTTTATAAATAACCCAAGGCAGAGAACATACCTAATACACCTTCCTTCTCCTATTTTCCCCTGTGAGGTAGGTTGGACCTAGAGAGAGTGACTGGCCCAAGTCTCCCCCAGTGTTTTGACCCAGCTCCCAAACATGACAACACACCTATTCATCTCTGCCCCCTGCCTTTTATCCCCAGAGCTAGGGTGGGTCTTTGCTAACAGAGGTGGCTCTTCCATCCCAAGGACCGGCCCATAGATTTCCACTGCTCTCCTCTCCTCTGCATTCTGTGCATCCACATGTCAGGCACTGGACCCAGCTGTTCCTCCTCTTCCTCATCAGCCACCTCCACAGCTGGGAGCTGTTGACTCTCCATCTGAGGGTTGATGGACGGCCCAGGCTCTGCCTCTCTCTTTCTCTCTCTCTCTGACAGCTCCATTCCCTCTTCCCCCTTGGACCTCTCAGGTTGCCTTGATGCTGGTCCTGACTCCCACGCCTCCTCCTCCTCTGATTTGGCTGCCGAAGGGGCCAGCTGCCAACAGCTCACAACACCCAACCAGCTTTCAGGCTGACTGTAAATGGGGACTAGAACTCACAGCTTCCTTGTTTCTAACCTGGTGTTTTAACCGCTAGACCAAACTAGTTCTTCCACATACCGGTAAAGAATTCCCCCCCTTCCTTCATTTCATCTGCCTGCAATCTTCTCTTACTTTCAGAGAAGAAAATCCGACATGACAGCGAAGTGATCTCAAGAGCATTAGAATCTTAGAAAGGAAATAATGCTGATTTGTTTCATCATTCCCGAACAAAGAACCAGCCTAGCATGTAATGTGTGTGATAAACCTTTTGCTGGGACTGCATATGTTTAACCTGCTTAAAACGGCAGGTTAAAATCCAATACAACGGAAAGCAAATCGGTTGGGTGACTGCGCTAACACAATGTTGCACCAAACGTCAAACAAGTCTCAGGTTGTAGCATTTAGGTCTCTTCTGTGTGGTGTTTACTCAAGCACAGAACACAAAACAAAAGTCTGACAAGCACCTGCAGTGTGTTGTGTTCCTGCACATTGGCCTACGTACACACCAGAGGTGAAATCCAAAATTTTTCCCTACCGGTTCTATGGGCGTGGCTTGATGGGCATGGCAGGGGAAGGATACTGCAAAATCCCCATTCCACCCCACTCCAGGGGAAGGATACTGCAAAATCCCCATTCCCACCC